AGAAAGAAAGAAAGAAAGAAAGAAAGAAAGAAAGAAAGAAAGAAAGAAAGAAAGAAAGAAAGAAAGAAAGAAAGAAAGAAAGAAAGAAAGTGGAGCAAACTCATCTCAGACAGTAAATGAAAGCAGACACAAAGGGAAGAGAAGTAATTAGAAAGATAGAAAGACTGAAATAGAGATTAGAAGTATATTAAATATACACCAACAAAACACAGGACCACACACCCAACATCTGTCCGCTCACCTGAAAAATAAATGGATAAATATATGGAGGGCATATATAAAAATATACACATACCCATACATATATAAAGATATACATTTTTAAGGCTTTAAACAACCTCGCCCCATCTTATTTAACAGAGCTTCTTCACCGTTACACCCCTCCTCGGTCACTCAGGTCTGCTGACCAGCTGCTCCTGGTCATTCCCAGTTCTAAACGGAAGCTCAGAGGAGATAGGGCTTCTCTGTTAGTGCCCCTAAACTGTGGAACCCCTTGCCCTTACATGTCCAACAGGCCCCTTCACTGTCCATTTTTAAGACTCGTTTAAAAACTTATTTTTTATCACTGGCCTTCAACCCAACTGAGATTTGATTTTACTCAACTTTTACTGTATTGGTGCTGATTTTACTTATTTAACTGTGTGATTTTATTGTGTTTTTGTATTCAGTTTTTATTTTATGTGTTCAGCACTTTGTTTCAGCAGTGGCTGATGTTATAGCGCTTTATAAATAAAGTTTGATTGATTGATTGAATACATACATACATGCCTACATTCATAAATATTGTCAGTATATACACACAGACATATTTACACACTCAGTGACCAGTCAGAACCCCCCGGATCAGAACACCTGTCTGTGAGCAGTTGTGAACATGCGTGTATATACAAGATTTCTCCAATGGAATATTTAAGAGTGACTGTAGGGAGCTCCTTTTATCAACGCATCAAACTCTTTCTGACCACTTTAGCATCATATCTGCTATCATCTAAATCAGCTGTGGGCATCAAATTCAACTTCTTATGACATCCACACTGGTGAGGGTGGACGCGCCCTGCGGGTACCCAAAGCGTGACTTTTGCTGTTGAAATGTCTCTTGTCGGGGAGGGGTCTGTGGGTCAGGGTCATCTGAGGAGGAAGACGATGGGTGGAGATGCGTGAACTTTTATTTAAGATTTAAGTTTTTTATTTCAAATATCCTCATGGCTCACAGCAGAAGCAGAAGCAATACTGTTAAGAAATCTGATGATAAAGTTGAATAAAAATCTAAGTCTGATTCTGAAGGTAAATTAAATATCTGACAGTGATCATTACACAGTGTGGCTCTAATTCCTCACTTCACCACCTGTGTCGCAGTTTCACGTCTCCAAAATGAGCGTACGCATGGGTCAGAGCTGGCATGGGGGACCGCATATTTTCACGTCAAGTTTGGATTTTAAAAATCACAACCTTTGCGTGAAAAGTGGCGTACGCAAGTTTCTGGGCTCGTTTTGTGCATACGCAAGTTTTATAAATCCCATCCCAGACCATKATGTTTCAGTGTGTGAAGACACACGTAGGTTTGGCAAGTGGTAGTTATGGTTCAAGCCAAAACAAATCTTTACGTAAACAGTGTTAGTTGATGTGAGTTGAGTGTATATTTATATGCGTGTCCGAATTGTGTGTAGCTTCTGCCAGGCTACACATTTTGACATTTGTTCCTACACTATCAAAAACACAAACAGAGGCTGTAATGTCACAGCAGAGTCCTGATAGAGAAGTCTTGTTTATCACACAATGTACATGCACAAAGCACTGTGCAGAAGGGTTGAACACTCAGCCAGGAGAACCAGGTAGAGATGTTGAAACCAGGAAATTGAAAAGGTGAAGCACAACAATGTGATATAGAATTACACAAAGTCCTGCCTGATTTATCAAAGCTACTTTAGGTAACTCAGTAATTTAGAGAAATTATAAATGTCAAATTCCTCTAGCAATTTTTTATGCAGAACAGAGCTTTAAGTTGAAATATAGAGAGCTAAATTTCTATTTAACTGTTTAGTGCATGAACATTTTTAAATATGTAAATCCAGGAAATCAATGAGTATATTTTTCACCACCATAAAAAACAATTGTTGCCAAATGTTCAGTCAAAACTATTGATGAAGACAACAAGACGGATGTTCAATAATAATATATCCGAGCTTTGATATTTTATCCCATCTTCTGAATATGTTTTACTACATGTTGCTCAAGCTTTATGTATGCATTCAGTAAGAATAACAAGAGAGGTTTCCAAAACACAGACTTAACCTTTAAACAATTCCACATTCTCCCTGTTTAGCAACAGCTACTGAGACGTCAGTGATTTTCCTTTAACCTTCTTCACAACTGAGTAAACACGTTAAAAGAGGTCATGTCCTTGCTTATTGCACACAGAGGCATGTTTTTAAGGTGGCTTTTGTATTTAAGGCACTTGGCCAACAGTTTGATGACTGTATTTATTCATGTATAATACTAGAAATTTAACCCTAAAAATCATCCATAAAATACACGGGTTATTGATAATTAGATTATTATGCTTTGTAAACTCAAAAAATGATGATCATATTATACTTGAGATCGTATTATACATGAATAAATACGGTAAATCCAATTTGCACTGAGAAGTGAGGTTYGCTTTTGCTTGAGGAGAAAAAGTCTCAACATGACTCAATAAACGGCTCTCGGACAAACTTTAAAKCTTACAGCTGAAGAATCTTCTCAAATGGAAAAATACTGGTTATCTGATTATTTCACTTCAGCACATCCTTTATCAAAACTCATCGGTGCTCAGTGGCTACACATTTTGCAGGTAAATATTTTTGTACAGCGATGATTTGCCCTCCAATGAAACAAAAGAAAGGAGCCTTTTATAAGCTGCTGTGGAGAGGCTGTAATTTTTTTTTGCCTGTTTTTGCTCAGTTAAATGTGTCGAACAGAAAAGGAATTGTGTTGCATTATTGAATTAGTGAGTTTTAAACAGTAAAGTTGTGTTTGAAGATCAGACATGTAAAAAAATTAATAAATAAATGCCCCAGGGAAAATATCATAAGCTTAAAATAAGGTTAATTTCACGAATTAAGGGCTTTGTCATCTATGAATAAAATAAAACATTAAGAAGAGCAATACTTTTAAAGTAAAACACACTAACTTTGTTTTYTCTGCATTTAACAGCTTCAGAGGATCATTTTCTAACAGAGAGTTGTTTTGTGGACCTCTACACTACTCACCAGTGTCCCGGCACCATCTGTTGTGTCCAAACCTTATTGTGTTCAGTGACCACAGCGCATTTGTTTTTCTCATGTTGACGGTGGCATTTAAGGTGTGTTTATGTGTGTTATTCTGTACCTTGTGGAGTTTAAGCTGCTGAATCCAGAAGGACACTCGGGAATGCAGGCACCGTTGTGGATGACGTATTCATGACAGCTGACCTCCTGGTCCTTTTGCTTCTTAATGTTTGCACACTGATTGCGAAGGTTCTGGGTACAAAATAAAGAAGACGGATACGTTTGCAATAGCCATACCTGGTTTAAGTGATTTTGAGTTAAAGGTGGCATCTCAATTGCCACAACCAAAAACAACATTTATGAGGGAGTCTGCAGAATGTCTTCTTGGATTCTCATTTCCTGGCGTGAGTCGCAGAGGTGTGCAGTTCAAAAACAGTCACAGTGTCATCACAGGGGTCTCCAACTCGTTTCAGATATGCATTTTAACTCCTGCACTTGTGTTCTCATTTAACAGAAGGCATCAGAAGTAAAATAAATATAGTCCAAACCTGCCTGTCCTCGTTTCGACAAGTGTCCTCCAGCAGAATAAACTACAAACATGAGGGCGGTTGCCAAGGTGCGGACAAACGAGCTGAGATGGGTTCAACGTGGGTTAAGGTGGACGACTAAATAATGCACCAAGAATGCAGTTCTGCAAGCCGAGCACGCAAACTGTCAGTTCAAAACCGCATGGCTCACTGGTTGCAAACACTCAGAATCAGTGAGATTACAACAAAAACATTGAGTTTTCTCGCTAATTTAGTTACGCTACAACTAGATGCTCACTCACCCCCAATTTACACTGACCGCCGCAGTAAAAACGCACCCATCATAATCAATGAGAGTACAGTGTTTCCCCTAGGAAATTGGTCTTGGGGGGGGG